ACTTTAAAACTGATCGAGCTGCAATGCGTTAAAATCAATCACATCACTGAAAATGCTACAGTTGACATACCAATTGTCACACATCTGTGGAATTCAGAGACGTTTTTATTGAATGTAAGGTCTAACTTCACAAAGAAACGTTACAGAAAATTTTCAGGTTGCTCGGTAAATGAAATTAGAAGTTTCGTTAGAGTTTGGAATACAACGTGCGTTCCAAAGTAAACAGGACTTTTTGAATGTAGCGCCCCCTGGTAGCGCGATCTATATGTCGACTGGTGCCTTAGAATCCTTATCGATTGTCCAGTGAGAATTTCATGTCATTTTATYGATTGGAAGTGAAGTTATTGCGTTTTAACTGTCAGTATGTTGGTTTTATCGATGCGAGAATGAGCTTCGAACAAAGAGCCCACATTAAATTTTGTTTTAAAATTGGTAAAACTTTTACCGAAATGTTTCAATTGATGAAAGAAGTTTATGGCGATGATTGCCTACCCCTTAGCAGAGTGCCCGAGTGGTCTCAATGTTTTCAAAGGGGTCGGGAGAACATAAACGACGATCAACATGTGGGCCAAACAAATTCCGTGATCACCGGAAATTCCATCGAAACTGTGGGTGAATTCATCAGAAATCAGCAGAAATCATCATTGAAATTCATGGAAATGGAATTGAACATCTCTAAAACATCGATTTATCGCATTTTGACCAAACATTTGGGCTTACGAAAGGTGTGTGTGCGTGGTTTGTTCCGCACAAATTGACTGAGGACCAAAAATTGCTGAGAATCCAAAATTCGAGGGACGATTATTTGAACCATTAATCACTTTTCGCATTCATCTGATAAGGCACCGTATGACTTCCTCCTTTTCGGAAAAATGCATTGCATGCCCATGAATAGAAAGCGTTATGCAGACGTAGAGGCCATTCAAAAGGCTTGGATCGGCATACTGGCGGTCATACCGGCTAACGAGCTAAAACACTCACTCGACATGCTTTTGGACCGTGCAAAAAGCTGTATTGACGGAGACGGTGATTATTTTAAATAAAATAAATTGATTCAGCCCAAAAAACTATTTGTTCTGTGTGTGTTGTTTTTTAAGTCCTGTTTACTTTGGAACACACCTTGTAGAGCAGCTCATTTCATTACGGCTGCGTTGAACGGTTATTTTAAAACCCTAGTTATTATACTTAAAATTATATTAAATATATACCTTCTTAACCAAAATATCATTCTAGCAGTAATTCCGTAGGAAAGCTTACCTGCAAGTAAAGAGAAAAAAAAATTATGAGTAAAAAAAATCGAAAAAGTACAATTAAATACAATTACAGTTTTAAAAATTATTTATGTTATTTTATTTCAATATTATCATATATAGTTTTACTAATAGTTGTTGTTCATGCTGTGACGTCTACAACGACACAAAACTGCTGCGACAAACAGAAAACTTCGCATTGAAATTGAAACCGAAACCGCGACTTCGCTTGCTTAGTAAACGCGTGCGATAAACGTCGCATGGGATCAATGAAGCGCGCGAGACGCCACGCCACATAAGACCGACACCAGAAGTCGCAATAGTCTACAGCTAAGCCACGGTGGTCGAGCGTGCAGTTTTTGTGGCGAATAAACAAATATTAAATTTTGTTGGTAATACAATAAATGAAAGAATACTATCACGCGTCATAAAGCGGAGGTTAATGCAAACGTCAGCAAAACAGAGCGAAAAAAAAAATTTGTAGAGCAGACGCGTGTGCTTGAAGTATAATATATATACATACATATGTACATATATGTATGTGAAATCGAATATTTGCAGTAATGCACTTTGAAAGTCGTGTGCAGCAGCGAGTATAGCGAAATTTAAGGGCGAAAAGCACTTAATATTAAAAATTTATATAGATAACTATGTGTGATAACTGGTATGGTAGTCAAGTGCAAAATGGAGAGCTTGTGGGCCAGAGATAAAAAGTGTTAATAAAAATTTATTAAAAAAAAAAAAATGATAAAGGCCCGGATGAAACATGAGCAAATAAAAGGCAGTGAATTACGAGTATAGCGAAAAGTGCAAAAATATCGCGCAGACACTGTGCGTCAAAAGCAAAAAACAAAAAAATTTATTTCGGTTGTAGCGAGCTATTATACCCTTCATAGGTTCAAGTTTGCTTACAGGAATAATTAATACTGAATTTCTGGAAAATATACTGTCAAATAAAAAAACGTATACAAAAGCTTGATTTTAATCGTTCAGTTTGTATGACCGCTATGTGCTATAGAGGTACGATCTGAAAAATTTCTTTAGATATTGTAGCGTTACCTTAAAGAATAATCCCTGACAAATTTCGTGAAAACACGGAGTCAAATAAAAAAGTGTTCCATAAAGGAAGTTGATTTTGATCGTTCAGTTTCTATGACAACTACATGCTATAGTGGTCCAATCTGGAAAATTTGTTTAGACATGTTAGCGCTCCCTTAAAAAAATAATCCAAACCAAATTTCGTAAAGATTTCTTTTAAAATAAAAAAGTTTTTCATATAAGAGGATTTTCTTTTTGTGCTATTTGTATGACAGCTATATGATATAGTGGTCCGAACTGTAAAATTTCATCAGATATATTAGCATTCTCTGCAAAAATAATCCCTGCCAAATTTCGTGAAAACACCGTGTCAAATGAAAAAGTTGTTCATACAAGAACTTGAATTTGATCGTTCAGTTTGTATGGCAGCTATATGCTATAGTTAACCGATCTCAACCATTTCTTCGGTGATTACATTGTTGCCTTCGAAAATAATCTATACCAAATTTCGTGAATATATCTTGTCAAATGCGAAAGTTTTCCGTACAAAAACTTGATTTTGATCGTTCAGTTTGCATGGCAGCTATATGCTATAGTGATCCGATTTGAAAAAATTCTTTTGAATATCGTTTTACTGCCTTTGAGAATAATCCATGCCAAATTTCGTAAAGATATCTTGTCACATAAGAAAGTTTTCAATACTTGATAATAATATATAATGATATATGTATGTAACAGCAATAAAATAAATAGAGCAAAAATTTATTGCTGTGCAAATAAGGCGAACAAAATTCAATAAAGCGTATCTATATTTGCGGTGACTAAAAACCGTATCAAATTTACACCACCAAACGAACAGCGCTATATTTACGCAAGAGCGGAATATCTGAAAAAAAGCACTTTTTTGAAGCCACAATAAGTCGCACATGAACAAATCACAGGAAGTCATTTGTGTTTGTCACCAAGCGCGAGCTTATTGTATTTGTATTTACTGGCGCATTGCGTCACTTAGCACTCGCTACTTGCACTCGTATGAGTGGGCAACATTCAGTGGGCACGCGAAATTGTCGCGCATCTTTGCATTTTCGTGTGAAACGCAAGTGAAAACATATCGAATTCCATGGTTGGCGTTTGGCGTTTTCAATGTCAAAAAGCCAAACGAAATGTTTTATATTGCAATAATACAAATTAATTAAAATTAATTATTGCTCATTCATTAAAACGGAAGTTTATAGTTAATTTAATTGTAGTTATAGGCAAGGTGTGTGAAAATTTTACAGCTACAGAAAAATATTTTGTTGCATAGGAACTATGTTAGCAACTTCTTTTGTGAAAAGTTTCTGATCAACTACCTCGATACGATTCATCATTTGATGGAATTTTATCGTTGTTCATCTATGCACTCTTGATGTTAATCCCATCGAAGGATGAAAAAATAATCACGCAAAAATGTTCTGGATTTAATTCAACTTTTTGGTTGACAAGAATATTTTAAGTAACTGTAAACAACACTTCTAGCGTTCATATGTCAAAAGGTTTTGAGTATGCTTTCCATCAAAAATGTCAAAGTTTACGATAAAATTGTGAGTTTCCAGATTGCGACCCCAGTGTTGCCAAATACTGAAATATAAAAAGAACAACTTTCGTAGTCTACGATTTCTTTCTAGCGAGCATTTTCGTGACGTCTAAGAAAAAACTGGCACTCAGATATGTTTTTAGTTCCAAATTGATTTGTCGTATGTGCTCTTCCATTTCAAATGTGAATGTTTCCATGATTTCGTCTTTTATACTTTTAAGTGACACTAAATAAAATGAGTGTTGGAAAAGATTCTCAAATCCGGTTACGGGACCAAACTGCTTCAATAATAGTCGCAAGTAGTTTCCAGGTTAATTGAAATCATGGATGCGTATTCCAAAATATAGACCCATAACATTCTCAGCTGGCTATTGTAATTTTTTACATTTTGCATTCGTTTAATCACAATCCAATCAATCACCCACTCTGATAACCACATTGTCAAAAATTTTCGAAAAAGTTTACCACATTTAAAACATTAGGGATTAGAGAGAAAATTGACAGAAAAAATTAACCTGTAAAGTATGAAAGGCCTGAACGGATCAACCATAATCTCGTCAATTAAAATTATGTAAAATTCAATCGTCCACACAGGTATTTTTATGATTAAATATTAAAAATTGTTTTGTTAAACCCGAGCAGGAACCGATCTTTTGATTTTGTATGATATTAGGAAATCACACATAATTTCTCAGAAAACAAGCTCCAAAAATAACACCAATTTTCGAGTTTTGAAAACACACTGCTTTAACTCTATTAAATTTTGTATGCGGCATCGAATTTCGGATTCTGAAACGTTTGAAAAATGTCTCCGATGATAATTGCTTGTCGCGAGCAAATGATTCTGATTGGTATAAATTATTCAAAGAGGGTCAAAAACGCGTTGATGACGAACCACGACCAGGACGGCTAACATCAACTGATGATCAACACGTCCTTAAAATAAAGGAATTGGTGTTTGACAATCAACAATTAAAAGTCAGAGATCTCACTGCCATCGTTAGTTAGAATATCGGAAGGATCAGTGCAAACCATTTTGAAAGATCGCTTAAGCCTGAAAAAAGTAAAAAGCACGACTGGTTCTAAAATCACTAAATACTTTCGAAAAACAGCGTCGCATAAACGTCTGTGAAACAATGCTTTCTGCCTACCAGTATGTCATGCAACGTATTATTACTAGCGATGAATATTGGGTCTATGCTTACGACCAGGAAACAGACCATCAATCGGCCGAATATCGTGGCGAAGTTGCGCCGAAAACGAAAAAAACACGGCAGAGTAAGTCAAAAATCAAGATTATATTGACAGTTTTCTTAGATTATCGAGGTGTAGTGCACTCCGCACTCCTACCGATCGTCCAAACTGTCAACAAGGAATACTATTTGAGTGTTATACGTCATTTGCTTGAAACTATTCGTAAAAAGAAGCCGGAATTAGGTACCGAGAACTTTTGGTTTTTGCCCCACGATAATGCACCGTCACATATTGCATTGTTTCTTCATGAGTTGTCCTCAAAATTTTCAACCAATATCGTGCCACAACCACCTTCTTATTAACCCAATGCGACTTCTGGCTATTCAGCAAACTCAAACGACCGCTACGGAGTAACCATTTTGAGTTAATCTATGAAATCTATTCAGGAAATTGATTTTAGTAACTGTTTCGAGGATTGGAAAAAAAACGTAGGTACAAGTGTTTTGGGGCCAAGGCCAATTTTGAAGAATAAATTAAGAATTTTAAAGTTATCAACAAAGTCTTACTTTCCGTTACTTGCTGATATTTAAATCTGATAAAAATAAAAAATAAAAAATCAGAAAAAGAAAAAATAAATAAATAAAATAAAACAAGAATTAAAAATACCCAATACTTATCTGATTTAGATAACGAAATATATTGACACTTAAGTAACACCAACGCCGACAAAGAAATAAATTTAGTCAAACAAAGAGAATATTATTATGTATATATGTATGTACATATATGTATATGTATAAACTTAAATAATATAATCTAGAACGTATGTATATTTGATATAATATAAAATACATACCAAACCAACAAGTTAATTACAATACATAAATCAGTGCAAACGAATTCGCAATACTTAAAATAAGTGACGCAATGACTTTGACGCACCTTGGTATATGCCTAATTAAATACGCATTCGTCTATATAATATATTTGATATATCTACATATACTATATGTATACCAGTCTCCAATTTTTGTTGCCAAGCGCAAACACACTTCCATAGCGGGCCTAGTTAGTACTCGATAAAATCCATTAAAGGATGATGTGGGCAGGAAGCTTTGCTAATTAAATTTCGCATACTTCTTAGCTGTAAGCGTTGGCAATTAAATCGGCTATGTATTATATGTAAATAGCACAACAGTAATTAGAAATTCATTGAATTTGTCATAGGATAAAGATGGAAATTGTTAGGCGTATCGGCATAGCTACTTAAAAGGGCGTTATATCGAGAATTCCTTATGCGGCTGCCCAATGTACTCGTAATAAATGAGTACACACTTCCTACCTTTGCATAAGTTTAGGCTGTCACAACTCACTAATGAACACAAAGTTATTATGTAAGACATCAAAATTGATGATGCTACTTAAGACTGGGTAGGTAGACATACATAAATACATTTTCAGTGATACGTAAGACTAGACTGTCTGCTGGCGAGCCACCAAACGGCAAATACATACATATACGTAATTAAAATGTAAATTAAACCAATCTATTATGCAATATAATTTACTCACAAACAAAGAGTTCATTATTTTACTGTTTTGAGTCTTAGTGAAGATTTACAACAGCTGATAGGGTTTAGTGTGTAATAAAGACTTTAAATTATAAATGATATAAAATCGCATGCGGATTAATAACTGAGACAAACACGGCGAAACTATTTGACGTTTATGTGGCAACACCTCTATTTAGTTAATTAGTAAATGGACTCAATATCAAGTTCACATAGGGCAATTATAGGGAACTTGTCCACTTATAAGTTATAACTGCCAATAAGCTTTCAATAAACATGTGTTGTCAATTAAGTACTAATGGTACAATCATCAAATTGTTTCAGTCTGACGTAAATTGAACCAATTAAGGTTGAACTGAAAATAAATCAATTAAGCAATAATTGTACAATTGTAAAACAAATTGAACACAATTAATGATGAACTGAAATTTTTTGAAGTATCTGTTCAACATATAAATATCGATTATTTAAATTTTTTAAATAAAAATTCCCTTAAATTAAGACTTAAGAGAGCAAATAGCCGTTTATGAGATCACTAACCCAGCCACAAGGCCAAATTCACTTGTCCCATTATGCGGTATGGTCGAAAGAGCCGGTCACTAAGTAATTGACGATAAAAAGCTGCGAGACAAAAAATAAAGCAAAAACTTGCTAATTCACAGAGCAAAAAAGGAGCCGAAGCAAGCACATGCGGCAGATTGTGGGCGTAATTACTTTAGCTGGAGCTGCTTGCGTGACAACATGGCAAATTAGACAATAGCTGATGCGACGCCAATTGCCAGCATGCTAGAACATGTCCAACAAATACGGACGACAGCCGAAAGACGAACCGCGACAATTCATTTGCGGTCGAAGCATCGAGTGTTGAATACTAACAAAGGACATTAAAGCAAACCACAACTATGAAATGGCTTAAATGCCTAATAAAAACGAAAAGAAGAAGAGCGAAAAAAAGGAAATTGCAAATAATCCAGAAAAATGGAGAACTACAAATTCGCAAATACAAAGTGAATGGGGTTAACTTGTGGTATGCAGAGCTTGAGTGGCTATATTGAATCAAGCGGAGGCAAAGCGGGAATGCACAGGGACGTCAACAAAGAGTATAAATTTAAGAGCATTAGCACAGCTACCACAACAGCAGTCATAGTAATTAATACCCGAGTATAAGCCATAAATGAGAAAAACAACACAAGACAAATTGCGGCGGGGCCAATGAAAGTAATACTTTCCAAAAAAGGGGCGACCGACAAGCAATGTCAGGAGAGACATACATATACTGGTATACAAATATACTATACAATGCCGTTCACAACATTAACCAGCAACGCAGCAGCGTGCTTGGGAGCGGCACAGACTGCGAGACGAGGCCATCACCAACAAGCTTAGGAAGGACAACGACACGACGTGCAGATGTGTGGAGTGTCGGCTTTTAGACGCAACAACATAGTTGCCACTACGTGTGGACTTGTGGTAGCGGTAGGAGCAGCTGCTGATTGTCTGCTTCAACAGGCGAGTGTGCAGACAGACGAACGCACGGCACGACGTGACTGACAATCATAACTTGCCAGTAAAGTTTATTGTCCTCTCATGTTTTGGGGCACAATCAAGGCAACTTGGCAGGGAGAGCGACAATGAGCTTGAGTGTGGCAAAAATCATACATACAAGGACGAAGTACCGCTGGCGTTCGTTGGAGGGCAGGCATGTCACGTTGAAGGGCGGACCTTTGAAGTTTGCTTTCATTGGAGTTTGTGTGTGTGTGTATATGTGTGCTGTCGTGACAGCCTTGCGGGTGTCGCGAGAAATTAGTTGTTTAGAGTAAAAATAAAGGCTGGACTGTATAACTTTTTTATTTTTAAAAGAGTTTTAAATAACAAATATTTGGAACAATGTTGCCAACTGTATTTTCGGTTATTCTCCATTTTTTTAACGAATAAATGTTTTCTAATTCAACATAAAACAAAATCAAGAATGATTTCTGAAATGAAACAAAAAAATCTATAGGGTTGCCAACTGTATTTTTGCTAATTTTTTCATTTTTAATAAACCAAAGAAATATTTTCTAATTCAACGTAAATAAAAATCTAAAGTTATTTTCGAAATGAAACAAAATAATCTCCGGGTTGCCATTCTTATTTTTATTTATTTTTTATTTTTTATTTTTAATAAATATTTTCTAAATCAAAGTAAAACCAAATTAAAAATTATTTTTGAAATGAAACATTAAAAAAAATTCAGGGTTGCCAACTGCATTTTGGTTTATGTTTCATTTTTAATAAACCGCAGAAATATTTGCGAATTCAACGTAAAATAAAAACAAGAGCGATTTCTGAAATTAAACAGAAAAAAATCTATAGGGCTGCCAACTGCATATTATTATATATTTTTTTTCAAATTTTATTAAAATTTATCACAAAATAATATTTTTTTTTAATTAAGTATGAACAAAATTGACTAGGGTGGCCCTCATAATATTATATAATTTCTTAATTTTATAAGTCCTATATTTCAAATTGAACATAAAACAAGCTTAAAAACGTTTTCTGAAATGAGCCATAAATAAATATTTATAGGGTTGCCAACTATTTTTATTTAATTTTTTATTTAAAAAAATAGGTCTAAATAAGAGTAATAACAAATGTGATAATCATTCCATTTCTTAAAAAATTTGGGCTATTATTAAAAAAAAATTAATAATATTACAAGACTGCCACATACAGAGTTCCATGATAAGTCATCATACAATATTTAAATTTAATTCGAAAAATATTTTTTGAACGTAAACCAGTTTTTTTTTGAGGTTTCGTCATTAGTGTAAGAGTTATCGTAATCGGATGAAAGCCAAGCCCACTCCCTACATAACGGTTATGTAGAAAACTACTAACAATGCGATAACTCACGAAATATACATACATATATAAGGGTTGCATAGGTATCAGAATCGAAGAATGGGCGTTACTCAGTTAAAAGCGGTAAGGACCATTGTCTGATTCTGAAAAAAAAAAAATCGATATCTCATGAACTAAGTACTTGAACATTTTCAACAAACTTTGGTACATAATGTTAACTTGACATTTTTATGTTATATTGTAAAAATTAGCAAAATCGGTCTGCAACTACACCTACATCTTATATACAATCCTATATTACAATTTTAAACTCCATACATATGCAAGAGCGAATGCCGTTATCGAAATCAAGCTTAGAGAAATATTGTGTTTTAGAATTCACCTCACGTCTGCAAAGTGCCGAAATCGAACCATAACTTCCAAGTTTCAGCTACCAAAGAATCAAATATTTGGAGTGCAGTGTGTTTTTTTTACAGATAATATCGGTCAATCTGTGAGATATATGATTGAATTTCAGAGAGATTCGTTTCCTGCTAACATTTTGAGACCTTGTGTCAAAATGGTCAAAATCGGGTGCAAGCCCACATTTACCTAATATAAAGATTTTCGAAATGCGACGTGACTTTATGCTGGATATATCGAAAAGTACTTTTATTACCTTAATAAAACTCGGAGAACGTCTAGGTCAAATAACAGTGTGCTCTTGTGACTAAGTTGAATGAACTTGGTTGAATAATTCTCCGCATCTTTTTAGACGAGTGGTTTTATAAAGATTTTCGAACTTCCGGTTGACTTTATAACGCAAATATCTATCGAATTGCTTTATGTAAGGGGTTGCATGGGTTTACGGGTTTCAAAAAAACGATTTTTTGTTTTATTATCTTATTAAAGTCTACAACAGCTCCAGAATTGGCAATCAAGTTGATCCGAATAATAGTTTCGGA